ATGTATTATTTTTCAACAGAAACAAGTTCTCTACATTATACAATCTTATGTAATATTTAACGAACCTCCCCGGAGTGTGGCACACGTCACTTCCTCTGACGAAGGTCCGGTTCCAGCACTATTAAAAGCTTTCACGGTCACTATGTATTCTGTTCCAACGTTCAAACCACGAATTGTTACTTCTTCTTCATCTTTGTCTGTGACGTCATCTTTCGTCACAGTCTCGTAAGAGAATCTACTTGAAGAGTCCTTGACCTTGTAGCTGACGTAGTAACCTTTCAGGACTCCGTTCCACTGGTCTCTGGGTGGACTCTAGTTAAGTTATTAATAACATCAATTTTAAGTCACAACACTAACATTCCAACTTACTAACAATGTTAGTTCTAAGTCACAACACTTACCTTTCAACTTACTAACAATGTCAGTTCTAAGTAACAACACTTACCTTTCAACTTACTAACAATGTTAGTTCTAAGTCACAACACTTACCTTCCAACTTACTAACAGTGCTACTTCTAAGTCACAACACTTACTAACAGTGTTACTTCTAAGTCACAACACTTACCTTCCAACTTACTAACAGTGTTACTTCTAAGTCACAACACTTACTAAAAGTGTTACTTCTAAATCACAACACTTACTAACAGTGTTACTTCCAAGTCACAACACCTACTAACAGTGTTACTTCTAAGTCACAACACTCACCTTCCAACTTACTAACAGTGTTCCTGAGTCCAGAGCCAAAACTTTAACATCCACAGGTGACGCTCCTGGTTCTGTAAAATAATTTACTTCATTACAATTCGTGAATAAATGAAGAATTTCTTACTCTAAACAACTGAAGATACAACTATCATTAAGAGTATTTGTATTTTAATAAATTATAACATTTATTTATTACGATAATCTGAACAATAATTTAAATTATTATATGTTACATACTAGTTCTTATCACGATCTTAGTGACTGACTAGATATACTGGATAAGATACCGGTGATATTTGTTGTTGTTTTTTCACTCAGTTAAAGACAATATTGATATATTTAAAGATAGATACAAAAAACGTGTTTCTATATATATTAAAATTCCATCTATTAATTACATGAATCTAAACACTTCTTTCTAAAGTCGTACTTTACACAATTCTCACCCAGCTACACGTAGAGATATCTAATAGGGTAATAAAACAGGGTCAGAAGGTTCACTGAGCCCTATACTGTTGTCTGTCTGAATCTCTACAGTGTATTGTGTACCAGGATGAAGATCTGACACCTACCTTCCTCCTGTGTTGTAAATGTAACAGGGTCAGAAGGTTCACTGAGCCCTATACTGTTCTCTGCCTGAATCTCTACAGTGTATTCTGTACCAGGATGGAGATCACGAAGCAACAGGCTAGTTTCACCAAAAGATAAAACTTGTTCTTTCAGCTTTTTCACTCCGAAATATCCTGAGAAAATCAAGTGTAGATTACTGAAAAAATACTTATCTAGATATTGATGTTCTCGTTTAATTGTTATATAAACATTGTTTACAATACAACATGCATCTTTACCGCTTGTTTCTTAACAAACGATTACTTCACGGTATTTATTATTGTAATTGTTATTAATCCTGTGTTTAGATATAAATTGTATAAACATTGTTTACAATACAACATGCAACTTTACCGCTTGTTTTTTAACAAACGATTACTTCACGGTATTTATTATTGTAATTGTTATTAATCCTGTGTTTAGATATAAATTGTATAAACATTGTTTACAATACAACATGCAACTTTACCGCTTGTTTATTAACAAACGATTACTTAACGGTATTTATTATTGTAATTGTTATTAATCCTGTGTTTAGATATAACTTTATATAAACAATGTTTACAACACAACATGCAGCTTTACAGCTTGTTTCTTAACAAACGATTACTTCACTGTATTTATTATTGTAATTGTTATTAATCCTTGTTTAGATATAACTTTATATAAACATTGTTTACAATACAACATTCGACTTAACCGCTTGTTTCTTAACAAAC